TCGCGGCCGTCGCTGGACGGTGCGGCAGTTCGTTCCCCTCCTCCTTTTCTTTTCTGTTTTTTTTTTACCAAAACTGATTTCCTTTCCTTTCTTTTTTTTTTCTTTTTTTAACAGAGAAAAGGGGAGGCACGTGCGATCTGCTGCTGGCCATCCCAGGGGCAGAGCTGCTGTCCACCATCTTTTCTTCTTCGTCTTTTTTTTTCTCTTTTTTCTCCTCCTCATTTTCTCTTTCCCCTAATTAACATTACCGGTACACATAAAATCAGCTCCACCTCGATCTCTAACACGGTTCAAGGTAATTAATTAGTTAATTAATTATCGAGTAACACCCGGGTGTTACATTATGACCCCATTCCTTCAGCTATATAAGAAGGGATGGGAAGCCCTTTAAGGACATAGCTAAATACATCTCTTATAATCTCTTGTAACTCTCCCACTCCCTGCCCAAACTTTAAGAACGCATGATACTACAATAAACTCTATCCCTAATCACTAGATGTAGAGCATACTGTCTGCATCAAATATCTCATTGAAGCCCCATGTGTGACACAATTTTAATCCTAGTCCTAGACCGTTTTTGTGAAAACTAATCCTAGTCCAATGTCTATATAGGCCAAAGAGTTTTGTAATAGCCTACATATAAATCCTACAATGTAATCATATACGTGGGAGCTCTATGTTATAATTCTAAATATTAAGAGAATAATAAAGAATAGTTTTATACTTTGTCTCTTTATGTTTTTTTACTTTTATCTGCTATATTGATCATGAGATATGAGAAAGGTAAAGATTATACCCGATGTTGAGATGGACGTGGTGCTCCTCCTGGATGCATGGGTAGATTGTCCATCATGAAACTGCCATGGAAACTTGATCGCATCACATCTAGAGGTGTGATTGTAATGGACAAAATATGGATGAGGATACAAACAGTCTGTTTGCTTGTTGATTTCAGCCAGGGCTTATCAGCCAGCCAACAATGTTTTCTCTCACAACAAACCAGCATCAGCCGGGCTTATCAGCCCAGAAACTAACCAGCGAACAAGCTTAAATATATTTATAAAATCAATAAATATGATCTACCAACTTTGGAGCAGGATAAAAGAGTTTATTGTTATGAACATGACCACATGAATGAGTCTTAACTACATACTAGTGAGACAAAGATAGAGGTGTGATAGAAAGGTGAAAACTATAAATTAGGTTCGTAAATTATATATAGTACTCCCTCCCTTCTAAAAGTACTTGATGTTCTAGGATTTTTAGAATAGATTAGTGCTCAACAGAAATTACCCATATAATCCTATTTATTTAAGGTAAACCATTTCAATGAATGAATAAGAGCAACTCCAGGAGAGTATCTAAATTTAGCTATTGAAACATAAAGAAATTCACTCTCCAAACTTTTTTAGCCACTCAAAATCACGGCTTGCTGCAGCAGTTCCTCTAAATCACTAGCTAACCGAAAGCCACAGCCGCTCTTCCAGCGGCCAGGTTGAGGCCTCCACGTCGTCCACGAGGGCTCGCATCAAAGGCTCGGTTTGGTTCGCTGAAAAGTCAAAATATTGTTTTGGCTGATTTGTTTTGAGAGAAAAATATTTTTTTAATTTAAAAAAGTAAACTAAAAAATACGAACTAAGACAAACGAACGAACAGGCCAAAGTATGTCGTAGCCTCATAGGCTTCCTCGATTTTCCTTAACTGTCGGCCTGGATTCCGTCGACCTGCATAGATCCCCTCGCCACCAGGGGTGCTACGCTACATAGGCCGGCCTTTGCGCACTGGTCCCACACCTTCATGGCCTGCTCCGGATAGGCATGCAGGTGTTCGTCGTCAGGAGGCTGCAGGACAATGAGGGCACTACACCACGAGCAACGACTGGAGGGTAAGGTGGCGAAACCTCCACCTTGCAGCAGGTGAGGATCAGAGCAGAAGTTGTCCGATGCCCCGCCATGGTCTACAACGGCGACTATTTGTCGTGAGATAAAAAAAAATACTATTCATTGCTAAAAAATTACGTTTAATAAGCCCGAGCGAACAGGCTATCAGATATATGTACTGTTAGAAACTAGCCATAGTTGGGGCAGTGCCATGGGCCTCGAGCCCGATTCAGACATTGGATGAGAGATTACATATACCAAAAATCAGCAACGAGAAGAGCATCGTATATTACAGAATCAATTAACCAACATGTTATCTCCCTTCCTAGAACTCTCTTGTCTTAATGTTCCTCTTCCTCCTCTCGATACCCAAGATTCTACTACTTACTCCTCTGATTCCCTCCTCTTCTCTGCGATCCACTATCAGGTCGCTAACAATTGTTACCAGAGCCGTCGATTCTCGGTTGCTAGCACCATGAATCCCCCCTCTGAGATCTCTCCTTCTACCCAACTCATCCTCGACGAACTCCGCAAACTCCACAAGCTGTTCGACAAGTTCGACGCGAGGTGGGCCAAGCAGGACGCCATGCGGGAGGCCTCCCAGGCGCCACCGTTCGACCAGATCCCATCGCCCTCGATTACGAAGTCGCCGACAACCCAGGGCAGCCTTTGAACGAGGCGGCGACTCCGACAAGCAGCGCTGCGGGGCACGATCCATCGTCGCCGACAACTAGGGTGGGCTGTTCGAGCAGCCTGCCCACATCCTGGAGGAGTCGGCCGCCACCGACACTGCTGACGGCACCGACATCTCCCTCGAGCTCGCGTCCGACTTCATCTCCACCGACGAGCCCCACCCCGAGGCGGTCCAAGCCACGCTCGACGCCGCGGAGAGTCCTCGCCGCCTAGCCACCGTCATCGACCACCCCACCATGGTCGATCCCATCAGAACCGACCTCTCCGCACACCTTCTCGGCGGCCAAGCTGAGCAGGGTCCGACGCTCGTTCCAACGCAGCTTCCAACGCCGCTCCTCTTTCCCTGTGCCACCTCTGCCGTCGACGCGCCCGCGCTCTTCGCCCGGGAGCGCCCAGGCCGTCACTCCACTACCGGCTTCTCCAGGACGACCTCGTCTCGCTCACCTCCACGCCCACTCCGGCTCCACCGACCGCAGCGTGCTCCTGCGCGCCTGT